GCTTCAGCTGAAAAAAAATGAGCAAACAAACAAATAAGTAGTAGCTAACATTTGCTGACCACCTACAGTGTACCAGATAGGGTGCAAACACTTTGTATACATCAGTTTAATCTTCACAACCACCCTTCAAGGCATGATTGTCCTCATTTTATAAACCCTATGCTGGGCCATTCCAAGTTGAGCCATTCCCTACAAAATGTCTTGCACTGTCCAGTCTCCATATGTAGGTACATTTCGGACCCCTAATGCTGCCATGTCGTTCTGTCATTTCACTCTCCAGACTCAGTTCTGCTCGTCCTCCAGAGCCCCTTCCAAAGTCATCAGTTCTACAAAGTGTTCCAAGCTGACTCGATCAGAACTGATCATTTCATCTTCAGTTCTCACCTAGCACTTAGCACTTAGTAAGCTAAGAAAATGCCTCCCGAGTGGTGTCTCCCCACTAGGACTCCGGGCTCCTTAAGAGCTGAAGCGCTTTTTCCTTGTCTTTGAAGCTCCATCCGTACATCTCAAAGTGCCTTTTGTTCAGGAGCACTCCTTAAGTGTGGACTTCTTATCAATGGACAAACTGAGCTTTGAAAGGGAGTGCATGGCTCAGATTATAGGGAAACTCACTGGTGCCTGGTCCCCACTCAGTTCTCTCTCCCTGCTACACTCACATCTTCTTTCTGTCCAGCTCTGCACATCGATGCGCATTCGGAAATCAACTTCAGTCCATAGAAGGGAAGCATCTTGGTTCCTTTTGCAGCATTAAAACTTCATGGCCAGAAATATTAGGAGCCTCAAACCTTCCTTCCCCTCTCGAATATCCTCTCTGAACCAAAGCTTACACAAAGGAGACCAATTCTTTCTTTTTCACTATCTACCCAGTACCTAGCATAGTGCCTAGGACATAGAAAATACTTAATAAATATTTGTTGAATGTATCATGAACCCACTACTTCTGAGTTAAAAGACCCCAAGGGTTCGGCCTGTGTGGCTCAGTGGTTGAGCAGCAACCCAATGAACAAGGAGGTCGTGGTTCGATTCCCACTAGGGAGCTTGCAGGAGGCAGCCCCTCGATGATTCTCTCTCATCATTGATGCTTCTAATTCTCTCCCTCTCCCTTCCTCTCTCCGAAATCAATAAAGACTTTTTTTTAAAAGACCCCATGGCTATCAGGGAATTAGCAAACAATGCTCTCTCATTTGTTAAACTGAGGCTTGTCTTTCTAACAACCAATTGAATTACTTATCACCTACTAGCTACCTTGACATTTATATCACACTAGAGGCCCAATGCACAAAATTCACGCAAGGGTAGGCCTTCCTTCCCCTGGCTGCTGGCACCGGCTTCCCTCTGGCACCTGGGACCCGGGCTTCCTTCTGGCCCTGGCTTTGTCCGGAAGGACATCTGGAATCACGTCCGGAATGACGTCTGGTCTAATTAGCATATTACTATTTTATTATTATAGATAGCCCTTCTCTTGTACCTCTTTCAGAAAACCTCCTGTGTTGGGGAGAAGAAAAAAAAAACACCCACAGTGACAGTGTTTAAGCTGAGCCTGACTTCTCTTGCATACCTAAGAAATCCTTTGCCCTCTGCCAGGCCTTCTCCTAATCCTCACCAAAGGAGATTATCTCTGTAATCCTGCCACACATCCTGATTCCTTTTCCCCCCATTTGTCTCCCACTTCCCTCCCATTCCTAGTGAAGCACTACCTTACTTCCCAATCATGTTCAGTCTCTCTCAAGAGAGACACAGTTTTAATGATGCCAAGTCCTGATCAAAGAAATAAAGGCTGAAAAGGATCTATCCTGTCACAGATCTAGTCAGCTCTGTGTCTGAGACTGTGTGTGTGTGTGTGTGGTGTGTGTGTGTGTGTGCGTGTGTGTGTGAACTGTTCTCCCTTCAGCCACAGATACCAAACCTGCGTTGAAAAGTACACATCGTTTCTAAATGTTCTGGTCTACATCTTTTTAACACTTTATTCAGGTGAGTAAACATGTATTAGAATCAGTTCTATTGGAATTTTTTCCACCTGTTTATTATGCTGGAGTTGAATTTGTGAGCAAGAGGAGAGGATGTCAGTGTGTGCTGAAGAGTTGGAAAGAAAAAGAAAAGGGAGAGAAGCAAACGAGGAGTGCCTGATATTCATTCATCCGGTGGCCAAGACTGGAGCCTGTGTTGAACGATCAGCATTTCCTCTCTGGCACCACTGGGTTCTGGAATTCACACAGATGTAGACAATTACGCCTTTGAAACTTGGCTTCCAGAGAGGTTTATCCCATTGTCTACACAGGTGCCAATCGAGTGAGAATTTAGAAAATGGGCCTCCTCCATTCCTGCCAAGCCCTTCCGAGTCACAGCATTTAGAAACAGAACACGGCTCCCTGGGAGGCGTCGGAGTGAATCCAGGGGCAGATTTGGCCAAGCTGCTAGTCGGTGTCGCTGGCTCCTGTGTGTCCTTTTCTCCCCCACATCCCTTCTCCAAGACCAGAGCCCCTCCCATGAGTGAGCACCAGGCCAGCCCCCAGAGGGGAGCAGACTTCCTCCCCTGTGGCCAAGCCGCCATAGCCTGTCAATAGCTGCTTTTTCCCAAAATGCTGTTCAGAGCTCCTGGGCGCAAGTGGAGGACACAATCGTGCCCTGAAGATGTCTTTGGCAGCAATGAATGCAGGTTCTCTAAGAAGAGTGTCTGTGAGTTAAATGGCCCAGGAATGAAAAGACCGCCCTGCCAGGGCTCCTGTCAGGCGGCTGCCAGGTTAGGCGGCTGGAGAAACCGACACCTGCACGCAGATAAGGAGATCAAACGGGAGCTTCACAGAGCGGCCAGGCTCCAGACAGAGAGAGCAGCATCAAACTGTTGACCTTCTGGGTGTTTCTATTTCACCAACGAAACTCTGGCTCACCAAGGCATTGCTTTGACAAAAAGCGCATTTTAAGGTTGGATTCCCAAATCCCATGGTAAAGCTCCTCCCTGGTGCTTGTTGGGAGAAGGTGGAGAAAAAGTAAAAGAAGGGAGAGTGAGTCACAGGCACTTGGACACAGCCAAGTCCACTCCCTGTCTCCCAGGATTTCCCATGCTAAGTGGAGGGATGCGATTAGTTTGCAAAGGGTGGGAGGCAAGCATTTTCCCTCATTCAGGGTTCAAATTTGGAGTCTCTGCATTCCAGGGAAATGAATGCAAAGGTACTTGTATGTATTTACTCACAGTTCATTTGTTTTCGGGGAAAGGGTCCATAGCCTTCCTTGGATTCTCAGAGAGGTCTGTAGGCCAAACTAGGTTAAGAACCATTGCCCCTGCCCTAGCCGGTTTGGCTCAGTGGATAGAGCATCAGCCTGCGGACTGAAAGGTCCCGGGTTTGATTCGGGTCCAGGGCACATGCTCAGGTTGCGGGCTTGATCCCCAGGAGGGGGCATGCAGGAGGCAGCCAGTTGATGATTCTCTCTCATCATTGATGTTTCTCTTTCTCCCTCTCCCTTCCTCTCTGAAATCAATAAAAATACATTTAAAAAAAAAAGAACCGTTGCCCCTACATTATTTCACATTCGCTTTTATCAGGGACAGAGACCCAGAAAGTAGAGCTCCACCAGTACACAATGAACCCAAGCTGTGGCCAAATTCCCTGAATAAGGAAAGTGGTACCCACCACACTGACTCCCTCCTGAATGACATCACACCAGCCTCCACTCCTAAAGCAAGTGAGGTGTGAAATAGCCCTCTCCACCACCACCTCATCCAGCATCATTTATTCCTCTCATGTCACCCAGTATATTTCCTTACAACCTTTTCTCCGCCTCACTGCCCCACCCAAGTAGAATAGGCCCAGGGCAGGCATCTTCGGTCGTGGGCACAGTCCTTACCTTCTCTACTCGTTCTGGCCAAAAGAACCTTGACTAAGCTGATCAGCGGAGTACATCCTGTTCCTCTTCCTATTCTTCACAGCATCTAAAGGGATTATTTTAATCCAGGACTATACAAAGGCATAAAAAGGATTCAGCTCTTTGAGCTTATCCATGCCTGCATACCTAAATAACAACTATAAACAATATCTAACTCTGTGACTCCAGGATGTGGTTCTGCTGGGAACAGAACTGGTGAGATCTTCAGGCAGGAAGATTGGACAAAGGGATGTGTCTATGTCCAAACTCTCTGATCCTGTTTCTGCTTTTGACACTTTTCATAGTCCGCCCTTTTCCCACCACTAACAATTCAGTTCCTTCTATCAGTGTCAATATAATAATTGTAAAGAACTATCAGTTATCAGTCTTTTTTTTATTCTGCAACTTGTCACAGGTCAGACTTTACGTAGAGAATCTTTGTCCAGTATAGTATTGCACCAATAATGCTCTTTGCTACTTTGCTAATGCTGTCGGGTGACAGGTTACATTTGTCAGCCAGGTATAGGTATAGACCAAGACCACCCCAGGCAAACTACAATGTCAAGGTCGCCTTGTCCTGCCCAGAACCATACAGTGCTCAGCGATTCACTCTCTTTCACCTCACACTTTACCTGCATCACCTGCCTCATTGGGGATCTCACCCCCAGCTAGGGTGCAAATGGTAGAAGATGCTTTTGAGCAAGAAGATAACAGATTCCTAACTGAATTCCTAACCTCCTGAAGAAGAAATATCTCCCATTTTAGAAAAGTCATGAACTCTACAGTGCTCCCTGTGTTGCATGTCACACATTCTTTTACTGGAGTCAGCCACAGCTTGCTCTTCAACCTTCTCATGTCATTTTACATGTAGACTGGACCATGTTATTTTTACTTCCCTGTTTTCTCCATAAATTGCACCTAAATTTAAAGCATCATTCAATAATCATGAAATCTCTCTCTCTTTCTCTCTCTCACTCTCTCTCTCTCTCTCTCTCTCTCTCTCTC